ACTTGAAATCATAACCACAGCGTGCTCTTACAATTAGCACAAATGAGAATCAGACAGAAATGTCAATGCAGGCAAATGGATTACATCATGTCTGCAAGGGTGAATGTTTAGTTTTGTAAAACACATGCTCGCCTGGTTTGCTCCGCTGAAAGAGAGGAGGAGAGAGAGATGGGGTGAAATGAGGCAACTGTTTGTACTTGCAGCGGAGGGAACAGTCATAGACACTCAATCACTATACAGAACGGACACACATTTTAGGCTACTATTCGTCTCTATAGGGAACATATAGCGTTCAGGGCACACTGGGGAAACGTGACATGAGTTATATGTAACATGAATGAAAAATATGATACAGTGTCATGAAAATATATGGTTAACTGTAAAATGTATAGCTTTTATTTGTGGGTTAAGATACAATGCAAATGAGAAATTGATCAATGTTGGGATTACATTCAAATTAAAACTTTTGAATTGAAGGAACAATCTTGGACTTGGAAATGGAATATGTATGAGCTAATTTCGGTCAATAAGTTTGATGGATAGAGAGAGACAGAGGGGAACGAATAAGGAGAAATACATAATACGTAGCAGAAGCGAGTGGAGAGGATTTAGCAGTATTTCCAGTGCAGTGCAGGCTGGGGTCCCTGGTGTGAGGCTGTGATTAGATGGTGGCTGAGCTCATTGTGAGTCCAGTCAGGCTGCTGCACTCAGGGTTACACCAGGTGACTGTAGGAGGAGCCACTCAAGCCAGACTATGGACCGGTCCAATGTGAGAAACAGACTCGGAGGAGGCTGTCTGAACCAGCACTGCTCCGACTTAAGTTAGAACTAATAGTGAGATGGAGAAATACATATCTATAGGTGATACTGTGAGGGGAGGTCACAAAGGGAGGAATCAAAAGTGAAATTAAGACGGCATCCTAAAGAACATAGTGAATCTGAACAAGAAAGGACTAACTTAAAACAGACAAAGTAAGCAACAAACCACCAGATCATCAGCAAAAAAGTGCATTGACAGCAGCAGATGTGAACTCAACCTTGACCAGCTCATGTCACTGTTATAAGGGTGGACTGGGAGAACATATCACTCACCTCCACACCTGTCCCAGCTGAAAGACGTGCAGCACAGTCTGCCAGACCCACACGGACAGACGACAGCACGCGTCCTGCCTCTGCAGAGTGGCCGTGGCTCTGCGGCTACTGAGCCCCTCCACGGAGCCCAGTCCTCCCCCGGTGTAGTCCTGCACGAACCACCTGAAGCTGAGAATCTGCACCAGGACCGAGGGCACGAGCACAAAGAACAAGGTGAGTCCTGACCACAGAAAGTCCCTCCGGTGATAGTAGTGCGCTGCCAGGCACAGATCCGAGCCCACGTCCCAGAAGAAGACGACCAGCGCCAAGACTATCCAGAGGCAGTCAAGCCAGAGGCGCTGCTCGTGCGTGGTGTCCCCCCTTTTCCCGCGCCCCTTCCCGCGCAGGTAGTGCAGGCACGCGCTTCGGCAGCCCCAGTAGCACGAAGACGTGTTGCAGCAGTGGCAGATGTGAAACGAGCTGCCATCGCGAGGGTCGTCCAGGTCCTGCAGCTGCGCGAACCCGGTGACGACCCCGCGGCCGTCCGACTTCGCTGCCATCTTTCCCTCTGACGCCTCCACCCCCCCGTCCGGCTTCCGGCCCAAGTGACGACACTTCCCTGACACCTGTTTGGCCCCCCAAAAAATGTCGGAGCCATCGACACAGCCAGCCCCTACCTGCGCAGCATCCCTCTCTGCGGCTCCGCTCTGAACACGGCGTCCCTCAATGTCCCTCCCTCTCCTCTACACACACACACACACACACACACTCACTCACTCACTCACACGCTCCACCTCCACGTGGTGCCATCTAGTGTCTCGCGTGAAGCCCCCTGCAGCATGTCCATGATGTAATGCCACTGAGCTCTGTGCGTGTACCCTTCACTTTAGTCACCCAAGTCACAGGAAGGTGGGACAAAACACAGACCACCCGCTGATGAAAGTCTCACTCCAACCACAGAGCAGACAGGACTGGTTGGGTTCTTTGCACGTGCCAGACGGATGTTTTAGGTCACCTTTTGAGTCTCCCCTTGAAAAGTTCAAAATATATTTGCTGCAGTTCAAAGAAATTAGAGGAGCACTTTTCAATAACTCAGATTGTTCCCCAACTCCAAAGCTCTCAGCCTCTGGTGGAGCTGTCCGGTGCTGAAGTGGTGCTGAACTCCGCGCAGAGAGCGGGTAATACTATATTACCTGAAGCAGCCTTGACAATCCTGTGACCATGACTTTGCCAGGGGCACAAATTTGATTACTACACGGCTGGGGACCTCAAAAGCCCCATTCAAAGATAAAACTGTTTAGATTTATAAATGCTCAACTTCAATTTCATGCTAGAGCCATTTTATTGATTGCTGTACTAACTCAGCCAATTTTGTCATTTTTATTTGTATTGCCTGATATCAAAACAGAGCTCCGTGCCACAATAAATTACACTATTCTCTCCTTCAAGGTGAGGAAACTTTATGCAAGGAGTCTGACAAGAGCGTGGCTGCAGATGCAATGGAAATGAGTGAGGCAAGACTTCTGAAGTAAAGTAAGGTATAGGTAACAAGTCAAGAGTTTATAGTTGTATATGAGGTTAAATGACAACTGGTTATTTACTTTAAACGTGCAATGCATTATGTAACTTTTCAGATGGAGAAAATCATCTTATTACTTTATATTGTGGTTTAGTGAGGCTTTCTTTTTTAATTAATTGCTTTGAATTACTTGAGGTCACAAATAAAACTATAAATAAACTTGCCTTCCCATTTTTTTTTTTTTTTTTTCTAGTGACTTATTTTCATGAATTTGTTTCTGTGACTCTGAAATGTTGGGATCAAATAGATTTCTTGAACTGTAAATAGACTTTATCCACATTCCCGGTGAAGGTTGCAGAGGCTGAATCGGGCAGGCAGACAGAGTGTACCTGCAGCCTTGAGGAGCAACCTTCTGAGGCAGAGGACCTTGGATCTTCCAGACAGCAGCTCTTTAAATGTGCACTGAGCATTCAAGTACAGAACAAATGAGGGTGCAAGCACAAGGCTGTAGCTTTGTACTGTTGTGGTGCAGGAATGGAAAATTGTTCATGTTTTTGGAAAAGTAAAAAGGCTTGATTTGCTGTGGTAGGAGTCTTGTTTTGGGGTATTATGACAGTGTGCAATGTGGTTTGAAAAATATAAGTAAATATGAATTCATAGTACATATTTATGTACAGCTTTAGTCGTTATTTATTTATTTTTTATTTGACCTTTATTTAAGGTAGCACTGAGATTAAGATTCTCTTTTTCAAGAGATTCCTGGCCAAGGTATCAATACAAATCACAAAATATCACATTATATTATGGGAGACACTGTGGGGTAGCATTATCATGTGCATAGGCAAGACGCTTTACCCATTTTACCAACCGTGAATGTAGTGTATGTGTGGTGATGAAGGGCCAGTGGCATAGATTAGCAGCCTCACTCACAGACAAGCCCAGGGAAGCCATGGCTACTGGTCACAATAGTAGGTTACATCACCAGGTCTGGAGTGAATGAATAGAAGAATGAAAAAGGCCTATTTGGGTGTCAAAAAAAGCACTACATTGTGTTAGCGTTATTATTATCATCAAAGTAGCAGATCCCAGAACAAACAGCAACCACTGTGAGCAGAAGGCGGGGGGGAAAGTGGTGATTCATAAATGAGACATTGTCTTTAGGACAACATGAATGACAGGCGGCGCTGAGTAATGCTGGAGGTGTGAGGACAAACTGTCAGTCTGTTAAAAAGTGGCCCACAGCCCCATCTGAAAACATGTCAATATGTGTCAGCTTCAAAGACCAGTGGCATCCGTCATCACCGATACAAGTGGAAGTCAAGCACCCAGTAAATGTAATTTAATCTTCTTTACATTGGAACCAATTATGAATGAACTTCCATTAGACCCAATGTGTGTGTTACAGAGATAGATAATAAAAATGAAAACTCATCTAAAAACATTATAAATAAGGCAAATCATTTCAGTTCCTGGAAAAGGCTTGTGCTTGTAGTCTATTTTCTTTGGAGAAAGAGCTTCACTGAATCATCTAACTCTCCAAAGCAACAAAGTTATTTGGTTTGTAAAGCAACACTTCATATTCAGTTAAGCTGTGTGTTTGTTCTGCGTTGTTTGTTGAGAGCTGGAAAGGCCCAGAACAAGCCACCTTTTGTGACACACTGTCTAAGGCTCTGTTCCTTCTGCTACTAGTCTCCCCATAATTAACCAAATTTTAAATATTATTATTTTTTATTATCATTATTTTAATTCTCTTTATTTTGTGGTACCCTTGGACATGTGTGGAACCTATAAAAAATGACGATGATTATGCCCAGATATATATCGACGTTTACCCTGATTGTCATCCGGGTCACAGTAGGGTCACAGCAGTGGCATTTAGTTAAGGAGGTTTTCTGCCTTCCAGGAATTCAGCTGTTTGAACTTATCATGCATACTCATAAACGCACTCATCATATATTTTAGACATGTATGATGAGTAAAAGCTGGGCAAATGCAGTAAGTTTGCTCAAAAAATTAATTGGGCCTAGCTAATTAACCAACTCACTAACTAATGGACCAACCACTGACCTCAAACAAATTGTCAAGTGACGCCATCTAGTGCTCGAAAATTGAATTGGGGTCGAGTTAGCATTTAAAGTAAAATAATAAAATAAACGTATTACTATATAATTCTTTTTACCATATATCTTAATACACGATGGAATATTTTGTTTGTATCTCCAGTGGTTTTCTTGCTTAATAGCTTACTCAGCTACTTAAATATTGTAAACGTTAAAGACAAAACAACTGACTTTGCTTTGCAAATGTTTAAAATGTTATATTTATTTACTTATTTTGAAGACACCGTAGTTCTTGCTTCTAACAGAAAAACGATACACAAAAACAAAAACGTGCAGAATCGTTGTTTCCAGTCGGTGTGTTTTTGTTGACGCACAAGGTTGACCGCTGATATTACGAAAAGGTAATTTGAGCAAATATTCACATTTGTTGAACTAAAAAACACCAGCAGAAGCATTGATTTATGACAATGACGATAACGCGTTTTTCCTGATATATTTGTTTAATGTGAAATTAGTTTATTTTTGTATCCCATTTCCTCTTTTTCTTTCCTCTTTTGCCAGCTAGCGCTACTAGCTTTTTATTTCCTGATTTCGACTCTATCATAGATTTTTGTATGATAATTTACCTTTTCTTACTAATTAAAAGTCTTAAGTTCATAGATGCATTCACGAAAAGTAAATATAAAAATACGTTATTTAGTATTCTGTTGAATTGTTCTAAATTAGAACATGGAGTTTGCGGAGCTAATAAAGACGCCCAGGGTGGACGGAGTTGTCCTGCATCGGCCTTTTCTGCCCACGGTGGAGGGGACCCTGTGTCTCACCGGACACCATCTGATTCTGTCCTCCAGGCAGGACAACACGGAGGAGTTATGGCTTCTCCATTCAAACATCGATGCCATAGAGAAAAGGTGATGCGAGTTATTGACACTGTGGCACATTGTAACACCAGCTGCATTACAATAAAAATGGTCAATCTTTCAGATTTGTGGGTTCACTTGGAAGCGTCATTGTTAAATGCAAAGACTTGAGGATTATAAAGTTGGACATTCCCGGCATGGACGAGTGTTTAAACATTGCCAGTTCTATTGAGGTAAAAGAAAAATAATGGCACTATAGGATCAGTCTTTGCACTAGTTGTCAGTGATAATCTTTGTTTTCCAGGCTTTGTCCACGCTGGATTCAGTATCTTTGATGTACCCTTTTTTTTATCGGCCCATGTTTGAAGTAATTGAGGATGGCTGGAACACTTTTCGCCCTGAGGATGCTTTCAAAGATCTGGAGTCTATGGTACATCAGTGTCTCTAACGTCATATCTCTTTCACACATTAATGAAAACTTTCTTCTCTTACCTAATCTGTGACCCTTTTATTAGACTGATGAATGGAGACTAAGTGATGTCAATAAAGACTTCAGCATCTGTCCATCATACCCACCATTAGTGGCTGTGCCTAAAGATATTGATGATGACACATTAAGGAAAGTTGCAACCTTCCGTCACGGTGGTCGCTTCCCAATACTTAGCTATTACCACAAAAAGAATGGCATGGTAAGGAAAACAATTAAATATACATAATTAATGAAACATGTGTATAATATTCTACTGTCATGTTTGGAGGTGATGATGCGAGCTGGACAGCCTCTAACAGGCACCAATGGAAGACGTTGTAAAGAGGATGAGAAGCTGATCAATGCCACTTTACGTCCTGGTAAACGTGGATATATCATTGACACACGTACCATTAACGTGGCCCAGCAGGCAAAGGCCAAAGGAGGAGGATTTGAATCTGAGGCAAACTACCCACAGTGGAGGAGGATACACAAAGCTGTCGAAAGGTGAGTTGGTATGATTATGGTTTTGTGCTCTGTGCTTATTTAAGTCAAACTAATAATACCACTAATACCACTACTGAATTTAATGCTTACAGCTCTGTCTTTGAAACTACAGTTAGTACAGTATACTTACAAGTATACATTTTTGTTAAAGCTGACCTATGTAGTATTGTGTTTTTCTTCCAGGTCAAATGTGCTGCAAGAGAGCCTGATTAAACTGGTTGAAGCCTGTAATGACCAGACCCACAGCATGGATCGATGGCTGAGCAAGCTGGAAGCCTCAAACTGGCAGACTCATGTCAAGGAGATCCTGACGACAGCTTGTCTGGCTGCCCAATGCATTGATAGGTTGGTTTTACAATAAGCACACAAAAACAAAACTATGTGTACATTGGTCATATTCAGATTGCCACACACACAGGTGGGGGGTAGGAGGCATGTTGTTTTTGTCAGCAATATTAAAAAAGGAAAAATACACAAGATTAAATTGTAAATTATTTTAGTTATTGTGTGCATTACATTGCACATAGATATACATCTACAAAGTTTCTGTATTAATCATGACTTCATTTGGCTAAAATTATCATGTGTTTTGGGTTGAATAATTGTACCACTTTAGGAAGCTGTTAAATTGCTTATACTGACTGAGAACATGCTATTCTTTGTGGTCATTTGACTAGGCCTAATAATTACAGCAATAGTAACCATGAACCTACTACCTACCTACTTTATTAAAAGGCAAATTCTTCCAGAGGTTGAATGACAGAATGATTATTTGTTTATTAGTTTAAACTATACGGTTAACAATGTTGCAGTTTCATACGAACTAAACCTGTATTGTATATTGCAGAGAAGGTGCATCAGTGCTTGTTCACGGCACAGAGGGCACAGACTCAACCCTGCAGGTTACCTCTTTGGCCCAGATCATTCTTGATCCAGCTTCAAGAACCATCCGAGGATTTCAGAATCTGGTGGAGAGAGAGTGGCTCCAGGTAGACTTTGGGGTTTTGCCAAAACTTCCTTTATTTTTGATTATGGACACTTTGTCTTCCTTGTGATGAGCTCTGACTGTTGTCTGACTGTTGTCTGACTGTTGTCTGACTGTAGTGTGATGTGTGAGTGTAACTGTGTGTTAAGCTGCAAGTAGTGAGTCAAAAAAAACAAAAAAAACTAATTTCCCCTTGGGGATAATGAAGTTTATCTTGATCTTGGTTTCTGTAATCATCAGTTAGCTTTCTCGTTTGACTAAGAATTATTATCTGGTTCTAAAACAACCAAAAAAAAAAAAAAGATTAACAGGTACTTGTTGTTTCCTATGACTGCATGAAATACCCGCTCTCTGACAAGTAATTTCAGCAGTCAATCAGATGGTGAGAACTGTATACAACACTGTCCCATTATTAGTAATATTATTTTAGAAAATATACATTATTGATATTTGCAATAGGGAGTAGGGTCTGGCTGATTGGACATGGAAGAGGCAACTCAACAGACAAAAATGATCACCTGTTATATAGCCATGGTCTCCTGAAGAGGCTATTACAGGTTATGCTTAACAAATGAACAATTATCTACAACTGTAATAAATGTTGTGTTTGTTTGATTCCACAGGCTGGTCACCCATTCCAAGTGCGGTGCTCTCAATCGGCCTATTCCAACACTAAATCACGTCAGGAGGCCCCAGTGTTCCTGCTCTTCTTAGACTGTGTGTGGCAGATCCTTCGACAGTTTCCATGCTCCTTTGAATTCAGTGAGAGTTTCTTGGTACTGCTGTTTGAACATGCCTATGCCTCTCAGTTTGGGACCTTCCTTGGCAACTGTGCAGCTGACAGGTACCATAAACATGAACAAAAGGTTTAGTACTCAATAAAACAACACAATCAGCACCTTTTCTGTTTATTTTAAAGAGTAAAGCTGGGTCTGCCAGACAAGACGGTGTCTCTCTGGTCCTGGGTGAACAGGCAGCAGGAGCTCGAGCGACTGACCAACCCACTGTATGAGGCCAACAGTTTAGTGATCTGGCCCTCAGTCGCTCCCCAGAGTCTGCTTTTATGGGAAGGTAAGGTCAACCTGAAATCTCTGCTCTGTGAAATTACATTAAAGAGTAGTATAAGATTATAGGTTTATATGCTCTTTGTTATCATAATGACATTTCCTTTACTTTGTATATTTGTGTAATATTAACTTCGTTCCGCCTCTGCTGGGATTTTTGTAATTACCCATTAGATTAAATGTTTTAGTATGGTTTTATGCAGATTTTACATTGATAATATTTTCTGAAAGCATACTGGTGTTGTAAAAGGCTCTGTAAGTAAACACTGATTGATTACAAACTCATTAAATTATAGATAAAACATTACAGAAATTAACCATTAGAGGGCACTGTTGTCCACAATAACATCCTCTTACTGCTGCTGAACCTAAATGACATACTAAATTTGTATCATTATCTGTTTTCATTTACTTCCTACATAAGGAAATCATACTCATTTTTTTATTTTTATTTTTCTTATTTTACATAATCCAATTCTGATTACTCATAGTTAATATTATATAACTCTTAATATAACAATACATTGTATAATTATAATAAAATATAAGTAGTGCAGTAGTGCAGTTTGAACAACCCGTACATTCAAATTATAGCTCTATGACAGGATGCATACCCGGCCTCTCTGGTATCTACTCCTTTCTAGTACATTTACGTAGACTGGTGTTTGTGACCATACTGTTATATTTGCCTTTCTTACTTGAGAATGAAAGGATTTTTTGAGTTAGGGATTGAGAGGGTATTCAGTGCTCTGGGCACATTATATAAAATGATGAGAAAAGAACTCTGGATATTGTGCACTGTCCTATTTCTCTCCTCTTTATGTCCATGGGAGTGCAACCTAAGCTTCATCTCACGGTGTGGAAACTCTCCCACTGCGGTTCCCTGTATGATGTAACAGAAATCAGAGCGGGCCACTCCTTCAAGAAATAAGCTCCAATTCAGAGAAGAAGAAATAATGTGTTGGTCTGAATTAGCACTTTTGAACACTGCCAGTCATGAGTATAAACAATAATATTGACATAATTTGACAATCAGGGATACTCTATGTCAATATCACCGAAAGAGGGAAAGATAGATAATACAATAGATGCCCTGTAGCTGCGTGCTGTAACAGTAAATTTTTACATGGAAACTATGAAATTGTCCGAATATGTTGCCAGTTTGACTTTTTATTGATTTGTACGGGAAACTATAACTTCAGATTTTCCAGTCTTGTACATATTCTTGGTTTAAACAAAATTACTTTTGATACCTTATTCCCATTTAGTTTTTATTTTTTACAGACTTTTGTCCACTAGTATATAGTTTCAAATATCAAATAAATACACCTAATTTATTTTCAAGGTGAACCATGATTCCCCTTATACTGTATTTGTGTCTGTAATAATTTTAGATCTACATGTAATGATAAATGCTTGTTTAAATTTTTTGTAAATTTCTGAAATGCAGGATAAATTCCAGTTTTAATAATTTTTGTATTCAGTGTTGTTATATCCTCCTGACTACCCGTAGTTCATTTTTGTCCTCTCTAGTGGACATTTCTTTACTAAAATATTTCCAACCCCCTGCGCATTACCTAACCCACTCCCTCTGTGATTTAAAGAGGACATTCAAAGCTTTCAAATGATACCAAATTTATAAGGGTGGAGCTTTGAAAAGATCCTCCTCCTTTTCAAGAAAAATGGCTGCCATCAACACAACCACATTTTATGGAAAAAAGAACAGTAAGCGGTATACCTTTTTTATTAAGCAAATTTTGGATCAAAGTTGCATTGTTATATTTTTATGAATGTCTAATGAACACATTAAAACCATTTTTAAAGTAAAGTAACAATATTTTACAATGAAATTTGAGTGTTTAACAAATGTCCTCCAAAGTGGACATTTGGAGTCATTTATTTATTTTTTTCCAATTTGAAGGAATTGGTTCTAGGTCAGAGGCAGAGAAAATATTACTACAAAATGTGGTAGAAAACTCAGATATTGAGTTGTCTGATGATGATGACCAGGATCCATTGTTTGAGGGAGAGGCTGAGGAATCAGAGAGCTCTGAGGATGAGGATGAGGTTGAGGAAGAAGAGACAGTGTCCAGTCGCTGTCCGCTCTGGAGCAAGACTACAGTGTACATCTTGATCTTGTACTCTCTTAGTATTATGTATTTTACAATGTATTTTATATATTTAGTTCATTCAAATCATTTTGCAAAAAAAACTATTCAGAATAATTCAATTTTGTAATAGTTTACTATAACAATCTTTCACCTTTAAAAAGAAAAAACTGACATTTTTTATTGTTTTCCTTAAGATTTAACCCCCAACTGGATCATCTTCCAATTATTCTAAGCAGTGATGCCACAACATGCCAAAACTGGACCCCACTTTGTTATTTTGAACAGTACATTGATGACTCTGTGTTTGAAAAAATTGCTATGTGCACAAACCAACGTGAAGTCCTTCATTCTGGAACATCACTAAACACTACCCCTGGAGAGTTGAAGACTTTCTTTGGGTGCTCCATTTACTTAGCCTGTTTGGGTTATCCAAACATTCAAATGTATTGGGCTTCAAAGACACTATGGAGCGCTACATCTTGCAAAAATGGTGGATGAACCACATGCATCAAGGTGTCGTAGATCTGGCTGTAACAGCAAAACCTATGTGATGTGCACTAAGTGTCAAGTCTTTCTGTGTGTTTCAAAAAAGGGGAATTGCTTCCTCAAATATCACACAAAGTAAACCAGAAAAAGTTAAAAGTGCAATGTTCCAAAATAAATGCACTACGCATCTGTATTGAGGTTGTTGAGGTACATAAATCCTGAGTTCACTTACTCTCTATGGAATTGAATTCTATGGAAATTGTTAAATTTGTACATCAATAAAGTTCTGATGTCCGCTATAGTGGACATGCTGTATTTTTCAAATAAAAACTTGAAAAAGAAAAAAAAAGTTTTCAGTATAGTCACTGTCTTCTAAATAACTGGGGAAACTAAAAATACATTTTTTTCTCTGGTTGTCAGGAGGATATCACCTTCTTCCCTATCTGGTAGAATTTCTTTGGAAATACATTCATCTATTGTTAATCTGTCTATATTAATCATGATTTTTCTAGGAGTGTTTCTTCGCTGGAACCGCTCCTCCAAGTGTCTGGATGAGGCGTATGAAGAAATGGTTCATATCATAGAGTACAACAAGGAGCTGCAGAACAAAGTGAACAGCCTCCGCAGGCAGCTGGCTCAACTGGAGACCGAGGACCCACTGCTGCAGTCACCATAAATGGGTAACATTGACAAAAGTATGCCCCAAGAAGAAGGTGATGGGTTGAACTGTCAAAAATAAAAAGGTGTTCATGAATTTTCCTTTAAAGAAGACATATTATGCACTATAGAGATTTTTAAAGAGTAATATTGATCTAAAACAAAGAAACATGTCCACTGACTTCTGATTGACAACTGTGGTGCTGATTTCCACCAACCCCTTTTCCACTGTAAATGTCATCTCAGCTAAGTACTGTGCTGCTTGGAGGTTAGGTAAAACGCAATTTCTTTAAGCAATGGTGTCTTGAATGCAGGAGAATACACATTATTTAAACATGCATGAAACACTCTAAATCACTGAAAATAAATCTTTGAGTGGGTAAATTAAAAGGAAAAGCAATCCAAACAGTGTTCTCGTAAAGAACAGTTTTACATAATATGTCTTTCTTAAAACTCTGTGGGTTTGTCTATTGTACAGCGTCTTGCACTTGGATTTTGTTTATTAAACAGCTACATATGCACTCCACTCCCCCTGCCAAATGCCGTGTCTCCGTGGAAACATAATATAGGATCCATAAGGCCAGTCACGATGCAATGATATGTGTAGGCAGAGTCACCACCTACTCAACTGTATTTGCTTATATAAATTCATAGGACCAAATGTGTATCACTTACGTTATATGTTTCTGTTACTATTAAAAATACTAGAATATCAATATAATTACACAAAGGGAGGGGGTTTGGACAAATGGGTAGTATATTCAGCAAAAATATGGGTATATGGGTGAAGCTTGTGTGTCTTCAAAGGTTCTAAACCCAAAAAATGATTAAAAAATAATGTTTGAAGGAAACCACATCTAAATTGCACAGACATATCTCTGTCCTGACATTTTGTGAAATCAAAATGTGATACCTTTTTGTAACTAATACAGTAGATGCTCATATTGCACTGTATCATAAAAACTAATAATACATGTGTTTTACTCCAGCATTTTAAGGGTTTAAGTATAATTTTAAGAGCAGATTCAACAATACCATCCTAAAGATGATTCATTAACTTGAATCAGTGGTAATTATAGTGATCTAACCCATATAAGAAACTCATTTTGGTATGAGCATATGAAGGACTGGTACTTCATTATTGAGCACTTTATTACACAAACTTGAAAATAACTGGTGATTGTAAGTGTGCTGGTTTAGCCTCTTATGCCCGAAGTTCCTGAGTTTTCTCAATGGAAACATTCACACTAATCTGTAATCCGACTGTCGCTATTACACTAACAGCTTTATTGATTGCAAGTTTACTTGCTCTTACTTTGTAAGAGCTCTGTAAGTATCACTGGAAATACTGCTGTATTTTCATAGTCTGAACATCTCGTTTACTTAATTATGACAATGAGCTTGCAGGTGTCTTTTTCAATTTGCCACTTTGGTTTTGCCTTAAAATATGTGACATATGAATGGCATCACTATCTATTGATGTTGTAATTGCTTTGAAAATACAATGCACATTAAACACATTCTTATGCAACCAACTTCAGCTGTTTGTTTTTTTTCCCCCCTCCCATTTATTTTCTCAATCATGACTTTTCACTGAAACTGATGAAACTCCCAGAACTTGTTGAGCAGTCTGCATTTCTTACATTTTTGGTTGACATCTATCAGTATCCATATGTAACAGTTTATGGTGGGGTGGTTGCTTCTTTTTCACCAGTGGTACAGGGTGCTGACTTTCCCCATACCTTGACCCCTTATGGTATGCTATAGCCTCAGTAAGCAACACCTCGGCATGTAAGACAAATATGCTTGGGTGTCATAGCGCGAGATCTGGTGAGGTCGGAGTGAAATAAATAGCCAGTATCAGGTGCAGCATTGGAGCAGCATGTGATTGCAGTAGTGTTTACAAAGCCAGAGTTTAGCCATCATCTCTTCTTCCCATTAACAAGATGACACATGTCCTTCCAGAACAGAGGCTGGAGGAGTTGCTGACACATTTTGCAAACAGAAAAATCCCCTTGAAAAACCCTTTTTGTGTAGTTTTAGTTTTGTTACTTTATGCAAACAAACTTGAGACTGTGTTTCCTTCTTGACTGTGTTTCCTTACGTTCTTGGTGCTATTGTGTGGTTTTATTACTCTTCTTTGATCTTGATATTAGAGCATGTTGATTTTATTTATCATTTGTATGTATGCCAGCTTACTTATTACCTTGTTTTGAAACCCTTTCAAGGTGATGACATCAGAAGGGGTGTGTGCGCTTCTACCACTCAGGGCCCACCACCGCCGGAGACCAATCTCTCTTTTCACTGTTGTCACATTTGGGCCCTGTTTTGACCCCTGTATTGGCCCCACTCTATCTACAGCAAACACTGCACACATTTCAAAGTCAAACAGCTCACATCCTACCTCTGCTTGGGTAAACACAAGTGGCATATGGTACGGTGAAGAAGCTGAATACTTAAAAGCTCACGCCACTGCTCATGGCACTGAGGTCTTCAGTTGAAAAGGTTCACTGACTGTGACCCCTATGGCACGTGAGTTCATCTAGTTCAGCAGGTCAGCCTCAGTGTGTTACAGGATTTACATTTCACCATGGTAACCTACATCAACTGTTATGTGATAATATAATGCAATCTTTAAAATGTTTGTTGAATGAATTTTCAACTTTATTTGGTTATATCTAATTCTTGGCACGAAATGCCAAGTATGTTTTGATTATTAATAAGCTATTAATACAGGCTGTTAAGTTTCTTTCACTATTAGACAGAACATTTATTAATAAGTAGACAATGTGTTCTTTCACTACTTAATAATGATTAGTTTATATTATGTTGTTAATATTATCATTGTTAATATGATGTTATTCTAAACTTTAAAAATAGCTTAAACTCAGCAGCTTTCTTGAGCGCAGGGAGCACACGGAGAAAGCCGGGGGAGCTACAAAGAGCCGGCTGTCTGCGCCCGAGGGGACGTCACACGCGGGCGTGGCCAATCAGCAAAGACCGCACCTTCGAGCAGCCACCAATCGCGTGAGGACGCCGGTTTCCTCCAGAAACAGATTGCAGCCAATATATAGCCCTCAAACAGAGCTGACGCAATACTGGAAGAATATAACACAGAGTGAGCATCACTATACACGCGCTCAGGGAGGATTTATTTAACTGTGTATTTTACATTGAACCGGTAAGTAAGCCTACTGCGTCCTTATTTATTGTAGGTCCCGTAATAATTAACATGTTGACAGCTGAGATGTTAATAACTTGATCAGTAATTGTATATGAAGTAATTCAGTTTTAATTTATTCATTACCCACATGGTAGCAGTTTGCTTTTTTACAGTATAAACTACAGTATTAGGCCTATACCCTTTCGATTTAGTTAAAAAATCGTCGTTAAGTGAGCTTTTGTACTCATATCTTTCTTAACAGAATTTTGACCACCATACCTATTAATCTGTTAGTGGGTGTTATTCTCTTTTATCACTAATATGTGACTAATATGTGATTTATTAGATTTATCACAAATTTATATTCTCATTGTGTTTTCAGTATTGAGGACATTAGGCCTATAATCTATACAGTTAACACCGATATGATTGCATTACATTTAAACCACTTGTGGAGGAAGGTGGGGGCATCTTTAGAACTAACTAGTGACGCACCGTGCACAGCCAAAGAAGGAGGATATACATCATACTGGTACCCCTTATATAACTGACTGTACCCTCGTGCGTAAAACACCGTGGCTCAGTGGAGCGCGTTAAGATGGGAACACATCAAAACAGGTGTTGAGCTACTCAGCCTAAATGAAACGTTAAAGTAATTTACTCTATTAGTTGTTAGTTGTTAGTGGTAAACGTGTCGCTGTGGTTGTCAGTCATCCTGAGCTTGGCAGTGTTGTCGTTTGCATTGTGTGACATACGCCCTCGGGTCCTGATTGGCCTCTTCGTAAAGGCAGGGCAGTATAAATACTCTCAAGTTACTCTCCCCCTTCCTTTTTGGGGACCTCTGCACTCTCTCGGTAAGTAGCTCACGCACACTACTGAATTTGATCCGAGGCAAAGGATAGGCGCGAGGAGAGAGAGAGGAAAACTTGGGTTACTTCTAATCCCTCTTTAAGACAGTTAGTTTATGTTGGCGTCAAATGATGTGTTAAATTGTGGTCATATGATGTTGGTGTCTAAAGTCTAATATGGGATACTGTCCAGCTTCTTTAGCGCGTTTGTGTTGCCGTTGCCATGTCGCCCCAGCGTCCTGACTGAGCGTCTCTAGTTTATTTTCGTATCTCTGTCGATGTGTCTGTAGCCCACCACACTGTGTGTTAACCTTAAAAAGTTTTGAGGTGCACTTTTTTATTGTTAGCTAAAATCTTAAAACTTAATGGTGTTAAACCTTGCTCTTTGATTTCACTGAATCTTCTTATCATTTTTTTTTTATAAAGAGCAATATCAAATGTTACTTGAGAGTGAACTGAAGTGTTAATGACAGTACCCTATGTTTGCTTGTAGATACCAGTATGCCTGTGATCAGAAGCCTCAGCAGAGTGGCCAAGCAGGCCCTGCTCAGCTCCCCGGCCTGTGGCTGTCAGCCTCTGACCATTGCAGTTCGAAACCTCAGTTTCTCCCCTCGCCAGGTGACTTCTGATGCCAGCTTTCACTCTGTGTCCTTCTCAGAGACTGACCATCCAAAGGTGCTCATTACAGGTAAGATGTAGGCGTAACAAATGTTATGAGCTGGTACACAGCTGGTCCCTCATTCAGATGTAACTTATTAATCAACTGAGAGCCCAAAGCCAAATGAGAAAACAAAGCGGGCGTTTGGGCTTTGACCTTTTTTCTTAATGCCCACTCTCCCCCTCTTGAGTCTCCATAGAAACCAGTGGAGGAGATAATTATTTGGTGCTGCTTTACTGCATGTCCTGTGCTGACTCCAGTTCTCTCTTTGCAGGTGGCCTGGGACAACTTGGGGTTGGACTGGCTAAACTCTTGAGGTAAATAATGATACTGTCATAACTCATTTACAATTAGAAACTCTTGTTTCTTGTTTTGACATTGATGTTTTCATTTTCAGAAAAAGGTATGGGAAGAATAATGTAATTCTGTCAGACATCAGGAAACCCCCAAGCAACGTCTTTCACAGTGGTGAGTCCGAAATCTAAATATATACTATTTGTACTGTGTTTGGTTAAATAGAAACATTAAGTATTTTTTTGCATATCACAACAAAATCCTAATTATTTGGTAATGAATGGTTATTATTATTATGATTATTGTCAAATGTCAAAGACAAAAAAAATGTCCCAAGAATGATCACACAGTGCTGCCATTGACTTCTGTTTTTCTTTTTTTCAGGGCCTTTTATCTATTCTGATATTCTGGACTACAAAAACCTGCGTGAAATAGTGGTGAACAACCGCATCACATGGCTGGTTCATTACAGTGCCCTGCTCAGTGCTGTGGGTGAAGCCAATGTGGCTTTGGCTCGCTCTGTCAACATCACTGGTAAGTAAAAACATATATATATATATATATATATATATATATATATATATATATATATATATATATATATATATATATATATATATATATATATATATATATATATATGTATGTATATATGTATGTATATATGTATGTATGTATATATATATATATAGTATTATGTATGTGTGTATATATATATATATATATATATATATATATATACACACACACACAACATATATATGATACATATAGATACATATAGATATAGATGGATAGATACATAGATATATAGGTAGAGATAATATTATTTGTTTTTTAGGACTGCACAACATTTTGGACATTGCTGCTGAACATGGCCTGCGCCTCTTTGTGCCGAGCACCATTGGAGCTTTTGGACCCACCTCTCCCCGTAACCCCACCCCCGACCTCTGTGTACAGAGGCCACGCACCATCTACGGAGTCTCCAAAGTGCACGCTGAGCTCATGGGAGAGGTACATTTTTATTATCTCCCATTTACCTCCCTTTTAGTACCTTTATATCTTACTTGGACTAAAATATATATATATATTTACAGTACTACCACCACCGCTATGGCCTGGACTTCCGTTGCCTGCGTTACCCAGGGATCATCTCTGCTGACTCCATGCCGGGCGGAGGCACGACAGGTGTGAAAGATAAAATCTTATACTTGTGCCGGAGGTTTAGATTTTATTGGATGCCTATTTCTGTATTTCTGCGTCATTATGTCACAAGTTCATGCTATATTTACTTAATGCATGCTCTGTTTATGTTCTGCACCTGTTTATTTCTTATTTAATGTTTGTTTTCAGACTATGCTGTGCAAATTTTTCACGATGCAATCAAATCCGGTAAATTTGAATGCAACCTGAGACCAGACACGCGGCTGCCCATGATGTACATTGACGACTGCCTGAGAGCCACTCTGGAGATAATGGAGGCCCCAGCAGACACTCTGAGCATGAGGACATACAACATCAATGCCATGAGCTTCACCCCTGAGGAGCTGGCCCAGGAGCTGCAAAAACAGATGCCTGAACTAGAGGTCACATATGATGTGGACCCTGTCCGGCAAGCTATTGGTGAGTGCCTTTGTCTGTTATACCATCTGAAGATGATAGAGATTCTTAGAAATATATTTCTAATTTGTATCAGCACTTTACTGTATCATTGTTATTGTGGTTTCCTACAATTTCAACTTGGCCGTGTACACTGCAAACAGTGGCCACTTAGTTGCATTTTTCTTTTTTATGCACCACTATTTTATGATCTAATTTTGCATGTTTTATTACTATTTTATTTAAAACATTAGCAGCTGATGAGATAGTGTTTAAACATCATATGATACCAACAATTAAAACATATTTATGCATGGTTGTAATAACACCCAGAAACTTAAGTCTTGTTTTTCTCGTCTTTCCAGCTGACAGTTGGCCAATGAACTTTGATGACTCCAATGCACGAAATGACTGGGGCTGGAAACATGACTACGACCTCCCAGGAGCTGGTGCAGACCATGCTCAACTTCTTTGCAGCAGAAAGATGCATGGCTCAAATCAACTGAGTTCAAACTGGTCCTTCTGAGAGTTGTACATATGTAAAGACTGACCAAAGAGAATAGATAAAATGGCCTGTACATAGTGGTTCATTTACGCCTCTGCGTAATGGACTCTTGCCTGCTGTGTCACCAGAATGTAATGGTCAAAATGGGGTAGAAACTTGACAAATTTTTGTCAGTTTAGCAGTGTTTTTGCACTCTTTTACCCCTGTGTCTCGCTTCAGAGTTGGGTGAGTCGAAATCTGTCACCAGTCTTATCAGTGGCGTCAATGTGACTTACAATGCTGTTAAAAGGAGGTTACAGGGGAACTCAAAAACAATCAGAAAGAGTATTGTCATTCATTCCTAAACTTCTTGAATGGAGTCATAAATTGATATGCAAAATGTCACCTTTGATGCACTTTAGATCATTTTGCAGCATCTTGTTTCAGGCAAAAATCTGCAGCTTGTGCGGTTTCTGACACAGTGCATCTGTATGTATGAGAAGTGCAGAGCAAAAATTCTTCTCTTTATTCCATGTTTTTATTTATTCTGTCTGTCTGATATGTGTGGGGCATTTTCTGAGCTGTAATGCCCCTGTCTGTTTTTGTTATTTGAAGGTTTTCATGTGAACTTATTTGAAAGCGAAATGAGAACGTGACCTTAATGTCAATCTACAATCAGCCACTCTGTCTTCATCATTCTGTGTTAAGAATGCATTTAAATTTTGGCAGGTTTGGAATCTCAAGCTTTGACAATAAAACCTTTTTGAACTATCTATACTTTAAGAGTTTTAACACTTTTATAACTTCTGTAGTTCTCATTCTGTTTAGCACACCACATGCAGTTAAATGATGACCTTGATAAAAAAAACACAAAAATGACAACATATAACATGATGAATAGTAATATCAGCATTAACCCAAAACATGCTACAGGTCTCCAGAACAGTTGATAGTCAAGGTCAGTTAAATACAATCAATCAATGAACCTGTCCAGGGACGACAGGTGGAAATTAGCACTGATGCTACAACCTGATGTACAATGCATCTCTCCTGTCAAGGTTAATGCGAAAATTGTGCGCTGTCCCTGTCTCAAATAAATAAATAAATAAAAAAGTAGCATCAACAGTTCTTTTAGATTATTAATTGTGATGGTGACAATAGTTTGAAAAAGTTAGTCTTGCATACAGTATTTTTTGTTTTTCTATTCAAATCAAAATTTATGTTTCTTTCAACTTAACAATACATTTCCTAATTATGGAAAATACTCTGAAATACTTGAACACCCATGCCGGGAAGTCTGGCATTTCACAACAGCGAACCAAAAGTGACACACTGCAGTAAATTCTCAAGTGGGAAAGTGCATACATATAGCCTACATACTGGGTCAACAGGGACATGGTTAACAGGATCAGGGTCGTCCTCTCATCCTTTTTTGGTTTATATGAGTATTTTCAGGCTGAAACATCGTAAAACTAACTTAAAATCCTTTGCGATGAATGAAGATCGCTGAGCTAAGCAAATCAATATAAATGAACTCACACAGCCCAGTTTCGGTAAGCAGAGACCATAGCCAAAAACGTCAGTAGTGTCCTTCACATCACGCCTGAAATCCTTTGTGCAATTTATTTTGTCCGTTCAGTGACCCTTTTTCTCATTTAGGCTGTATTTTTTAACTACATTATGCAGTGATAAATCTTGGCATTCAAATGTGAGCATAAATGCGAAATTCAAACGAGTGTAAGAAGCAAGTGCACATCTTTAAATCAATATGCTTTTAAATGAAACGTGATGGGAAAATTGCACAACTGTACCAAGGACATGTACATCTAGGTCCTTGTTGACATTTGTTTTTTGCGAAGCGTCATCTGATCTAAGTCACCAGAGCGTGGAAGCATGGGGACGTGAAAAGTACCAAAATGTGTTGAGAATTGAGTTTCCAGGTCTCATATTGATGGTAAATAATGTTCTGTCTCTCTTTATAATTCTTGGGCTACTAGTTTTTCCTCCAACACTCTGCATGCCTTCATCTCAATGATACTGGTTAACAAATGCATGACAGTGAAACTGCAGGTGCACTTTAAACAATGGATAAACCATGTTATATGCTATATTTAACATGTTTTGTCTGAGGTCTACAGTGTTCATTTCTTGCTTATTATATTATCTTTTACAGTTATTATGTAAATGTTTGTGTTGCAGTTTAACATACATTTTCTAGTTATATCAGTTGGGCTTATCTAAGAGTGTATTGTAAGTGGAGTGAACATTTTGTTTGTGCCTGTGTGTGTTTAAGATACAGTTTTTCCAAGAAGAGGCACAAAGCCAGGGGTGTGTACTTCAGCGTACTACAGCTATACAGGCTATAAGAGATCCCTGTTACACTGTTAGGGAAATGGGCACAATGGTCCATCTGACACGGGTAACTCACTCTCTCCTGTGTTTTGCTGTCTTGGGCCCTCCTCTTATGTAACCATCTCCTTGGGCACCCACCATCAGCCAATCAGTGGCCTGCGGGTTCAGACGCTGGGGCCCCCTGCTTGAGTGTCTTAAACTGGACATAGAGAACAAGCGTGACATATAGAGTTTGAATGGAGGAGGGGAGCAGGGGGAGTAGTTTGGCTGCGCTCCAACCCGCCATAACACAGTCCCACAGCTGTTACATGAGACCCCAGCACACAAGCCCCTCCTACTCTATACACTGGTCTCCAGAACTGATGTGAGCACCAGTCAAAACAGAACAGTCTGTGACTTTCCTCGAAGTGGTGAACAAAAAAAAAAAAAAAAAAGTAGAATGCAAAGCCACACAGGCCAGTGAAATCACATCACACCTTAAATAATTAGCATAAAATTGACATTTTTTTTTTTTTTTTTTTTATTATTCTATTTACCTGATGTACAAGTCAGGCACAAATAGCATAAGTAAACCTAATAATTGGTAATTTATGTTTTCTTTGGTGTACTATACCAAAATGATCATCAAGGCTTACTAAAAGTTTACTCTTAATTTAACCCCATAAATCCATCTAAATCAAGGGCCATATACCTGATTTATTCTGTTGCACATAAACAATGCTCCACTGGTCTGTAAACATGACTAATACAATAAAATGAGAAAATCAATATTTGACTTGTGTGACCTCAAATGTTTGCTATGTACATTATGCTGGCTGTGAATAGCACCATGCCTTGGCCCTTTTTGCTGTAAGATGTAATACTTTCAGGTCATGACAACATTCACTGTCACTGATCCCTGTACACCGACTGTTACACAACCCTTTAATCCCACGATTAGGGCAGAAACCTGAGAAGCAGATCTGGGATCAGATTATCACCTGTACCACTGCACTATAGACTCTTAACAAGTGGAAGCTGGGGTCTGATTCAAGAACAGTCACTGCTGAAGTACCTAGATCTCTAGCTCTAAGTGGATATGCACAATTAGGCCAAGGCCAGGCTCCAATACAAGGTTGTACCTGAGGATCATTAGGAGCAGGACAAGTGGAAAATTAATGTGATGGTATATTTCTTTGTAATAAAAATACATACAAGTAAAAAATATATATAATAATAATAATGAAAGGAATTGGAAAAGAAGAAAACACAAGAAAATAAATATTCTGCTACTTACGCTTCACATATTTCATTATAGGCCTATAACACACAATAACACAAGACCATTCATCTACTGTTGTGCTTGACAATGCAATAAATCATGTCCTCCACTGTTATGCTTGACAATGTAATAAAAGACGTTTCAGAAATAGCCCTCTAATCCACTTGCTCAAATCCATTTTCCCCTTGGGATAGAATAAAAACTATTTGTAATTCTGATGGTAAATAGTCCTAAATGTAAAACAAGGGGAATCCTTTCATGTGGACAATATCCAGACACCCAGACTAAAACGTTGTCGTATTGAAGGCGATTCTGCATAACTACTTTACTGTTGCGGTGTTTTTGTTATTCTAATGGCCCCGACCACCTGTTGCACAAGAAAGCTCCGTATGCCTGTAACCTAAATTATTTAGGCTTTACCGAACTGGAATTTATTAGAATCGGCCTTTCAATTGTTAGTAAAAGCAACAAGTTGATTTGAACATATCTACCTCCTATCTGGGGACACAGTATAGGCCATGTTTATGGAATTTAAAATCGAAAACTTACACACTGTAAGATCAATAGTTTTAAGCTAATGTTTTCAAAGACTTGTCATTTCATACTCCAACAAGGCTGTTAAGGTGTACTTGCTTGCATTTATGTCTGTTTAAGAAAGGTCCGTGAACTTGACTAACCCGTAGCCCATAAGCCCATGCTCTTGCCCCTAGCCAAAAAGCGCGTTATAAGGACAAGTACTCCCTCTGCCGGCCAAAGTGGATACTACTGTTTTATTTTATTATTTTATTATTTTAAATTTTTTTGAGCACGCATGCTTGCAATTTGTTCAATATAAATAACAGTATTAAGATAACAGATAATAAACCAGATTCATTTTAGTGTAGTTTTAATGAGTTCATTTGGTGTTTCGCAAATCAGCACTTTTTATTTGTTTTAATTTGGCATGGTTTCGGCCACCTTTTTTGCCGGCTCGGTGTTGACAGGACCCCAAGATGTCCATGCTCGCGGAACGTAAGTTTACTTTATTTTTCATAATTTTAATTGTTGTGACGGTCGAAAGTCGATATATGCGTGTATGATCTTATAAAGCACGCAGCGAAGTTTCGTTTCGAGTGCCTGTTTCCACAATATCTCTCCTAGTAATGGTTTTCTGTTGTTTTTGTAGCATTAGCTGCTTATGTTGCGTGTACACGTGTTAGCTGTAGTATTTAAATAGCATGTGTTTAGTGAAAGTTTATTTCATTATCCCTTTAATGTTTATTTTCGATCGATTGCATCGTGTGTCCAAAGATGACGGGAAGTTTGATGTGGACTGGGCCTGCACTGAACCTAAATAATGGGTAGCTGCTAAGTTCAGTCCACACTAATAAATGGTTTCTTAGTTTACCACTAACGGGGATCCCTTTACTGATCAGTGACTTGATCTCTTGCTTACCCATTTTCCTCTTTCCAGCCCGGAGGAAACAGAAGTGGTCAGTTGACCCAAGGAACAGCGCCTGGAGCAAAGATGACAACAAGTTTGGGCAGAAGATGCTGGAGCGAATGGGCTGGTCCAAGGGCAAGGTGGGTGATTTTGCTTAATAATTATGTCATTATTATAGCATTTATTATTACGTCTTAATTGTACTTTGGAAAAAGTTGAGTAATAGGTATGTATGTTGGCATTCAGAACACACAAAAACAATTACATTACTTTTATGTAATTCAGTAATTTATATTTTGTGTGTTTTAGGGCCTGGGAAGAACCGAGCAAGGCGCCACAGAACACATCAAAGTCAGAGTAAAAAATGACAGCTATGGTCTTGGAGCCAATGCCAGTCATGAGGTAATTTTATAGATCGGTAAATCTTGTAGATATATGAATTAGTTTCTTGTGTGTGACTGAATTAGCTTTTTGTCAATTTTTTTTAATGTAATGTTGGATTGTGCAATTTATTTGCAGTAGAAAAGTCAAATATGGAATAAAATGTGTTCTGCTTTGTGTATTTTTGACAATTAGTTACAATTCATTGAAGTGAGTTTGAGTTTTTATTTTATTTACTATGAAACAGTGAACATTACTAACATGTCTTTGGTTAGCATAAACAGGGTTTCTGCGGTGTCTTAAAAAGTCATAAAAGCATTGAATTTATGAATTTGGAAATACTACTTTAAAAAGTCTTTTCTTATATCTGGGTTTGGCGTGTGCACCATGCAACATACAGGCGCGAGGCACCAACTCACTGTCAGCTGTTCATTTAAGTTAACACCCATTGGTCCCACTGTGTGGGGCTCTCCATAACTGTAGCGCTGTATTACAGTCTGTATATTTGCCTATAGCCTTAAGCAGCATTTTAGGTCCTTGTCTTGAATCCTGTAACTGTTTTACATGACAGTAACATAAGTAACCAGCATCAGCAATGTTCCTACAAGACAAAATATACTTTTTATTAGTTTAATTTAATTTAAAAAAACAGGGTTAATCTTTATGGAAAATTTGGAGCAAATTTCTGTATAAAAAGTTATAATTTGATTAATTGATTAAACAAAAACATTGTCAATAGATTAGTCGATTAATTGCAAAACACACACACCAGAGGCCACATTGCTCCTCGTGAACCCTTTTCACCTTTGTCACCCCTGACCCGTTTTCATGCCTGCTTGTAGCCTGTGGTCTGCAGCCATATCTCGCTGCAATCTTTCAAATATGAGATTTTGACTTTCATAGGATTCTCCTTGTGTCTGTAGTGTGCACTTTTTATCGCACATTTAAAAATCATTTAAGACAGAAAAATCCTATAGTGTGTGACAGCCTTTAGTCAAACTTGATTGTGGTCTGCTGAACTGTTTGTTTTTTCACACCCCTGTTTGGAAGGTGGTCTGTGTCTGTACTGTGTTGGTGTTGTAGTGTCAGCACTTACTACTGTGCTGTAGTGAGGTTACATCATTCTTCCATCATCCTTTACACATTCCACATTTTCACATTTCAGAAATTAATGAACACAAATTCAAGAATTTTGTATTTTTTTTGCCGGTAGGTCTATGAAATAGGCTTTGAAATAGGTATTAAGTTTTTATATAAAAGGTCTTAAAAAGATTTTAATTTAACTTGAATAAACCTGTAGGAACCCTGATAAAGCATAAAGGAGGCTTTTGTTTTCTGAATTGTGATGCTTTTTTTTTTTTTTTTTCCCTCTCTTCATTGTTACTTAAATGGCAGTGTAATGTGTGCAGATTGTGAATGCAGTTTGTGTGTTAACAGGATAACTGGATTGCCCATCAGGATGATTTCAATGAGCTTTTGGCTCAACTCAACAGTTGTCATGGTCAGAACAACGGTAATGGTACAGTACTGTCATGTTTTACTTGTATTTTGTCAGTAGAGGGCGCCACATTGTCACACAAATAAATCAACATAGGTTCTGTTCAGTCTTTTATGTTGACAGTGAATTGGGCTTGGATAATAATCTAAGTGAGTTTGGCTATTGTATATTTAACACTATGTTTTGTACCTTCTGATTTAGAATCTCCTCCAGAGGAGCAGAAGGGGTTTAGCCTGGAAGAGAAGTCCAAAACCGCCAGAAAGAGGGTTCATTATATGAAGTTCACTAAAGGTGAGTCGACCTGTGGGCAGCAGGCCTATATTTCCCCAAATGTCCAGTGCATGAGGTACTTGTAATTCCTTCTCCAGACAGAACCTTCCACCCTGATTAAAGATTAGCACATCTATTCTTAAGTGCAGACACCCCTTTTATCACATATTCAAAGCCTTGGCGCTGACCGCAGACTTTGCCAGCCTGTGCCGGGTCAGGGAGCCTAGTCAGTGCCAGGGAGCCGTCTTGTATTTTCATTAGTTTACAAGGCAGGAAGTCAAAACGTGGTGGTCAAGGCCAGTGCACTGACAGATATCTGGAGGAATCTTGTGTCAAGCACCACGGAACCGAAGTTTAATTATATTATGGGCACTTATTAATGCGGAGTCCCTTTTAATTACATAGAATACTTTGGTGTTGGTGAAAAAGTGTTCCCATCAGTACAACCCCATACACATACCATACTATGTAGAAATAAAAAAATCACATGTACAAATGCACTCATATGTAAAATAAAGTTAAATTGTGTTAACTGGACAGAAGTTTTTGGAGTGAATGTTTTACCACTTGTCCAAATAGATTCTTCAGTAGTTACTTGAAATGGAGCCATCTTTTTGTAAGAGATTATATTTGCATATTTAATTGTATTGCTATATTTATTTTAATCTTCTTTCTGTACTACTGTAGTCTGCAAATTATTAATGATGTATATCAGTAAAATATTTTATCCTCCTTTTCCATCATCAGCCCTGGTGATCCATTTTTATAGTACCAACATGTTTCTAATTTAAGCAAACTGAAACTTAAATTAAAACCTTTAACCTCCCAAGGCCTCTTTAGCCTTAAAGAGATTAGTTACTCTGCGCCTAGTACTTTTTATGTAATGCGTAGTTCCCTGGATGGTTCAAGACAGAAACAATCCTTTACTCAAATCTTATTGTAATTCAATATTTACAACGTTTGTTTTACTTACTTTAATTGCATACTTGGGTAATAGGTAAGCAACTCAATACCACCTGTCACTCTTCTCACAAGCGGTTGCCATGTCACTGTAGGATGGCAACGCATTTTAGTGATAACTACAGATTTACTTAGAAACCTAATTTTCCTTTACATCAAACATTAATTGCCATACGACATTGATTTTTTAGAGCTACTTGAATAGGTTGAATATCTCTATTGTAGAAATCGTAATACAGTTGGCATGGCATCACTGTCTCGCTTGTGATATGGATTGGCATGGTGACCAAAGCGTTACCTTGGACTAATTTCAGTCACGCCTGTTTGCATGTTTCCAGAGAGTGATCAAATATCAGCTCCTCTTTGTAGCTGTTGCCAAGTTAGGACTGGTAATGGCGTTACCGTTAAGCTTGTTATTTGATCAGATGAGAATGTTAAAGGTACCATCAGGCTCACTTCCAATTAACTGAATTTTACTTTAAAAGAAATAATGTTTAGAATTCTATAGTGCCCCCAATACTCAAAAGTCATCATCAATATAACATTATTATACAAATTTTATATGTAAACTTTTTTACTTGTATATTATGTGATGGTAATTTAGACACAATCAAAGTCCTCAAAGGCTCTTCGCAAGTCTGACTGACCTTAAGGCATCCTGACGTCATGAGGTTGTCCTAATGTAAGAACAGTATTAATTAGGGGGCCTGTATAGGCTTTCTTGTAAACCAGTGTGAATATATAGGACCCATTAGATTCTTTTCTCTACACAGGTCGGCTGTGCACTTTGAAACTTTTTATCGATATCCTCTTTGGGGCTTCTTCATAGTGGCAGAACTGAGGATTGATTGTCTTTGTTTGTGGGGAAAAGCATCAAAATCTCCACTGCATTGGTGTGGACCTGTGATATAAACCAGTAACCCACATTTAATTGCTGCCTCCATCTATCACCTGTCACTGGGGGGGAAGAGGGGTGTAACTACAGTGCAATGTCATCTGTGGTTGTGGTTGGCCTGGCTGTGGTAATTTTACTACATAGTCCTTAACCGTTTTCCTTATGCAAACATTACACTATATGTATATATAAATAATACTATCATCTCTGTGAACCTTGTGTATTGTTGTTAAGCTATTCTTTCAGTTTCTGTTGTTTCTGTTTTCCAGTTTTGCTGTAATCCAGTATGCATCTTCATATCTTCTCATAATACGAAAAAAATCATCTAAAATTGCGTAATTGGTACACGATAAATATTCAAATGTATGTAATTTTTTTTAAATCCCGAATGGCCCATGGTTTTGTGTGAAACTAAAGTGTTGCAGCTTGTGGCCATCCAATACTATATAAATTTGCCAGTATATTTACAACCAAAATATGACCAGGGTTCCTGACCAGATAAGTTGAAGTTAATTACCGTAGTTGAAGAATATTTCAATAGTTTCAGCCCTAGTGTAAACCTAAAATGTGTATATAAAGGTACTTCCTTGTCAGAAAGGGGAAATTCACTCTTGTTTTTGCCAAAAGGTTAGTGATAAACATAACAGTCCCCCAGACATTTCGGTTTTCAGCATATTTTTTTGTTTTTACTTCTTAGACATGTCTTGGGAGTGACTTTCAAAGCCAGGACACAGGGAGATAGAGATTTTAAAGCAATAAATAACCAAATGTTATCAGGGTCGCGCTGAAGGAAGAGGATGCAGCTGTGCGAACAGGTCCAGGCTGTAGACGGGAGGCCATGTTCTTCAGGAGTCTTTGAGGCCTGTCCTGAAAGTGGGACTCCGGAGGTTTGGAATTGCAGGACTAGAACAAGTTTATTTTTCTTTATCGTTTTTGTCCCACAGCCAGAAACCACCGGAATTTCCAATATTTCCACTGTTTTGGCACAAACTTTGAAGTGATGCCTATGCACCATTATAAATAATTTAAATTATAATTGATATTGTAGATATGGATGTGTACACCAGGCACCATTATAAAAATCCATGTTTTGTTTGTTTTAGGAAAGGACCTTTCTTCTAGAAGTGAAAAAGATCTCAACTGTATTTTTGGGAAAAGAGGTCCATCAAAGGAACAAGATCAGGTAAGAAAGAAAAAACTAACTTGGTGCAATTACTACAAATTAGTTCAGTTTGCATGTTCTGTTTTTCTGAATTAGATCAACATCTTTACTGTGACATTATTTGCCTACATGTACAACTTGCTTTTGTCAAATTCCTAAATTTTCATGATTTCATCATTGTGTAAATGTTTAGTGACAAGTTGACATTGTGGACTATGCATGTTTTCTGTTAACACTGGGTCTCCCTGGACTGTCCCGTAAATGAGATTCCAAATCTCTTTGGGAGTTTTCCTGCTTAAACAAAGTTAAATCAGATCCAGGTGAGATAGCCATCAAGACTTGTGTGCTGTATACTATCCTACAAATCGTAATAGTAGTACTAAAATTCTCTTTTATCCCATTTATGAAGAAGCAGGCTTTGATTACTGTGTCTCAGCCAGTGTCTGTGCTGTAATGAGTGTGGCTCGTGGTGCTGACGCTGCCATCACTCCAGTTTCACAGGCTCTGGCTGCACATTGGCCTATGGCTCCAGATTAGCCTTGTCACAGTGCACTGCTAAACACTGCCAACAGGCCACTGATGGTGGCTGGAGCATCTAAATCCAGTTAAAGGATTTGGCCCCTTCTACTCTCCGCCTCTTCTCTCTTCTGCCTGGGAGTGCTCACATCAGGAAGTTGAGTCTGCCAGCAGGCATTATCAAAGGCAACTTCAAATTGTAGATGGTTTGGAAAAGTAAAATGGTGACTCTTGCAAAAAAGTTTAATCTTAGCTCCTTGAATTTGTAGTTGGTCTCTTCAAACATAACATTTCAATTTTCTATGCTAAGTATTAGCAACTTTAACCCTTCCTTTATTGCATTTTGTCAGCCATCTGATAAAGGGAACTACCCAGCTCCTTAACATATAAAACATGGAAAGTTGACACCCTTATATTAAAATGGGAAATGCACAAAATCTCAGCAGAGTACAGGACTCGAAAATTTAAAGGATAGTGTCCAGACAACTGTATTAGCTCCCAGTTTTTTGTTTTTTGTTTTTTGTTTTTTTTAAAGATAAAAATAAAGATAAAGATTTATATGGGACATATAAACAGTTGCTTTTACATCCTACTGCCATGCAGGTGTAGTCATGTGTGTACAGTTTGGGTCAGAAACTCGCCCTTTTTAGTTGACTAATGAATCGGCAGGTCATGACGTTAGTTGACCGTACAGCCTGGAGGTAATTTTAGTCACGTGTTTTAAGGTAAATCAGCAGAGTGAAAGTGGACTGTAAAATAATATAATTTCTTCCATATACACAATGAGCCCTAACAGCACAATGACCACTGCATTTCAGCTGATTAACAGTGTAAATTAAAGCAATGTGTACTGTCTGTCTTTGTTCCTAATTGTTGAGTTATGGGTTATTTTTCAGTCAGCAGGGACGCCTCTGAACATATCAAACGGTGCACAGATATACAGTACAATGATTCCTCTAGAGTGTGTGGTTTAGGGTCAGGGATATCGAAGGTGGAGGCACTGTGGGTGATGCGCCGGTCACTGCACCATTGTGCTGCAGTGTGGGGATCCATGACACCAGCCTTACTGATCTGTTGTTTACTAAAGACACTAAACTCTCTGTTGCATTTTGAGTCCAAATTTGGCTTACTGTTTTATTTCAACGGCTTGTTTGCTTGTATTGAGACTGTGAATTGATAACTGATTGACACTGTAATCTGTCAGTTCATCTACTACCCTTTTATGGTTGGATTTATTTTGTTTCCTAGTAATTTGCTTCCTGCTTTTTAACTCTGCCTCTGTGGATTCACTCATGAAATTGCAGTGGCTAAAACTCAAAATAAATGCATACAGAGTGACGGACTTTCGCCAGTTGAAATAATGCATCTTCTATATGAACCATGTACATATTGTAGGTAGAGGTGCTGGGGATTAATTGTTTGAGTTACAAATTTGTGTTGTCGACCATCTCTTCACAGTGGCTAAAGCTATTATTTACAGTGTGTCCGGTGAGGGTTATGGGGTTGTGGTGGAGCACATGTCCATCTACAGGCTTCAGTGTGATCCATCACCCGTCCCACGCCTGTGAACCTCCTCCTTCTCCAGCCTCCTCTTGTGCCCCTCAACACAATTACTCACAGCATGACAAACGACAGGCCTTCTCTGCCGAGATATCAAAAAGCCTCGGCCACTTCTAAATGAAGGCTCTTTGGCAGCCCTGTGCTCCCAGTGCTTATCGGCGGGCGAGCAGTGCCCCTGGCCGTCCTGTGTCCTCCTCCTGTGCCCTCCTCGGGGGGTTTAGTTAAGGGAGGCACGCACAGGGCCAGCCCTGCTTGATTTATCTCCCCTGCCCCTCTGCCCAGCCACTCAGGCAGGCTGAAAGAGCCGACGAGGCTCCAGCGGGCCTCCACTGGAAACCCGGCATTAGCTGAAATAAACCATTCTGCCGCCCAGTGAAAAATGTCCTCTGATTGGCTAATTAATCAGTCAAAGGGGAGCGACGCGACTTGTGACTTAAGGGACCAAAGCGGGCGACCACAGAGGGCCGGCTGATAAATAGACTCCCCGCCGATTCATATATCAACAAAAGTTGGCCATTTTTTAAACCTGCCGGCTCTCATGAAAGGTGGAAACCAGGCACAGTTACATCTTCTTGCCTACATTTCATTTCTTTTTGTTTTGTTACATATACAAATAAAAAAATGCTTTAATTTTAAAAGGCAAATTTGATAATAATTATTATAAAAATAGTTTTACTTACTGACATATTTTTTGTGCCTTAAATGTCAGATAAGAATAATGACAAGAAGAATTTGGGTTTGTTTTGGTTCTCAGTGCTCCAGTCACTGGGTTGGTATGGTGCTCCCCTGTCCTGGGTCGGTCTGACCCCTGCGCCCTCTCTCACTCCCACTCTGGCTGCACACAAAGGCCTGAGGATTAGGCCTCGTCGGGTGGCACCTGTTGAAGGTTTCCCAACCCACGCACCATCCACATGAAGGATCACGCGTCAGCAGGGCTCCCCCGACACCTCCAGTCTGAAGTGTACGCCCTGCATCGGGCTAGGGCCATTTGGTAGATGTGGTCGTTTGGCGACACTCACCCAATTGATGTCGGGAATTATGTGCTGATGATGCAGATTTAACTTACATTTTAAAAACAAATACATTTTGGCGACTAGACTGTGGCTACAATTAAATCATAACACTGTATATTTTATTTAATTCTGTTTGATTACACTATCAAAGTTCTCAGAATTAAAAAAAAATTATAATTATTTTATTCTCTCAGTAAATGTAATGTGCATCATGCCATAACACTGGTATGTGAGCCTACACTCTTATTCGTTCTCTGATAACATCTAACAGGTAAGTTTGCAGTTACTGCCAAAAAAATCAAGAGCAGCTAAGTGACATCTCACTACTATAGCTTTTATGAGTCTCCAAAGATTAACACTGGATAAGAAAAGTCTGACAGTCTTTAAGGCTAAGCAAGAATATATTGGGTTGTGGTAATTACTGCAAGGTGCAGCTAACCATCCAAAGATTTCCAGCCCTCTTGGCTGTTTACAGCCACCACATAGCATTTAATTATGGACTTTAATAAATCACTGCAGAGAAAATGATCAGTGCAGCCCTCTCTGGGGTTTTGGCGGGGGAGACCCCGGTACACTTGCAGGCAGCTTTGTCTGCAAGCATTTGCAATGTTGAACAAGGATTGGGCAGCCCTACTGCATGCATAATACTTTATTCATTTGTTCTTTATGATAAACGTTCTCACACTGGGAACAAAATGCAATTTTTCAAACCCACTTTTGTGGTTCATACTATTCAAACACAAAAACACCTGTGAGTTTAGAAGAGTGGTTTGACTATAGCAGAAGCTTCTTGTGGGGCATGGTCTTTGAGCACCCTTGTTACTCTAAATTAGTTTATGCAGCAGAGAGGGGGGAGTACGCAAATATTTCCATTGTGGCAGAAATGTGTAGCCAAGTCAATTTATTTAGCAGGGGAAAGGTATCCACCTGTTTGTCTGTCCACCTACATGAAGAGTATGAAGGATGGGCTGCTGGACTGTGTTCTCATCAGGGAGAGACAGCTGGCTAATCAGGGCCTGATCCATAGACCTCGACTATCGCCAAATTTATTATTGTGGCAGGACAATGAGGGCACACTCGGGCAATTACAGACCCAACCAATATTGGCTTGAAACTATTGAAAGATGAGAAAAATATAAATAATGCAAACAGGCAGTTTTTAAGAAAATAAATGACCAACTACAGCATTACCAAATGCTTGTTAAAATATTAAGCAGTGAGTCACTTCACATGGGAAAGTGGGAAAAGTCTTTTCTTTTATTACTATACTATTTACTACTATTTCTAAGTATTAGAAAAATGGAGGAAACTCTTTTAACCCAGTCTTCTCAGTATTTTCATGCTTTTCTTTATATCAGTAACTCTTCAATATTTTATATCAATGTATACTAAAATATTGCTTGAACTGTAACATGTCAACACATTTTTGTTTGCATCTGGTCTCATAGGGAACTTGTAAAAACTAAGTTCCTGAGACCCTTGTGAACCTCCCATCATCTCTGCTGCTGTTGGCTTGATAGTCTCTGCTAAATGTGTTGGCCTTGGTATGTTGGCATCTTTGTGAGCATTGGCTTTTCCCTGTCTAAATTAGCAGAGACAGAACTGGAAAGTCTTGAAGGAGGTGGCCTGTTGAATGTCTTCCACCCGTCCTTTTCTTTAGGGCCCTCTGCAGGCCAGACCCAGCCCCCGCCAGGGGAGCGCGGTGCAGGAAGGGCCCTATAGCCAGCCAGGCCTCTCCTCTGCTGAAGGAGCCTTATCTCAGAGCTGCACACAGCGCACACGGCGCATCCTTTTCCTGGGGTTCTGCTCTGAGAGGAGGAGGAGGAGTGGACATGGCTGGATATAGGTGTGATCTCAGCCCGACATTTCCCAGCCCTCTGTGCTATGACTGGGGACTATCTATTTTGGGCATTTTGTCAACAGTCATATAAACAGATTTTGAGCTCTATGACCTTGAACAACACTTGGGATATTGTAAACACTTTTATTTTATACATATTTGTGAACATTTTATTATGGTATGACTGCACATTCTTTTGCCAAATGAACTACTTGTAAAACTAAACAGGCTTCTTAAAGTATAATGAGCACATTTCTCTTAATAAAACCTCGTGCACAGATAAATGTTGAGTAGCATTAAACAGAAACAAAACCAAGCTTAAAATGTCAGTTTTCGGGGACCTTGTTACCCAAGACTTAGGACCAAAACTCAAAGGGCTTGTTCTGCAGAGCATACCCACAGCCTCCTGTTTCTGTTGGGCTTGTGCTCAGCGCAGCACTTTGTGCTCCTGGATCAGTCTAATGGAGGTCCCCAGGCAGGTGGGCCTGCGCAGGGCTCCTGATGAAGATGTTTCTCTGTCACTCTTTAACTCTCACTCATTCACCCTGCTTCTCTAGAGAGTAATTTCACAGGCAGCGCTAAAGTGGCCCCCAGCCATCTTTCCAAATCCCAGGTACAAGTTGTTTGGCACTGTCAGCTCTGAGCCCTTACCCCTCTCGAAGGCAGAGGATACCATTGTGCAGTAACAGGAAGTATAGATTTTCTCTGGGAAGTTGAACTTTTTTATAATTGCAGTGAACCTGAAGGACCATGTATTGCTTGTTAAATGTTGGTCCTTAATATTTTATTTATGTGGCAATATTAAATTTAAAAGTGAAGAGGGGCCTAGAATGCGTTTTGTATATTGCATCTTTTAAACTTGAAAAAAAAATGCTTTATTAATCAATACATTTGAGTGGACTAAAACAATAGCGTTTCTTTATGGATATGTATTGACTGTGAAAGGCCTTTTTACTCGGTTAAGACTAATGATGTGCAGTATTTCAGCAGTCTCCAAAGGCTTTGGAGGATGCATGCTAATTCAGAATTTGGTTTGAAAAAGCTGCCATTGTGAAACCTCTGGGAGAGCTTGTAATGATAGCGATCGGTTCGCACCTACCTGCGCTTTGTTTTAGTGGCCCATCGGTTAACCTGTCCATCTAAATGATCCTTGAACACTGTAATGTGAAGGTAAAAGCTTAAAGGCCAAACCACAAAGTGACTTGACACCACACCATATTTTCAATTTATCTCTAATCTGTAGGGTTTGAAAAATGCTGTCCAGAGGTAATACTCAGAGTGGTATTGTGTAGTGCGAATCTCAGGAGGAGGGTCTGTATTCTTCTGGACAAATCATTATGCATTGAGTAGACCATTAGGAAAATGAAGACAAATGGTGCATGGACATGAGGTGACAAATGTTCACAGTAAAGCTAAAATGTAGACGTTAAAGCGTACAGTTGTAAAGTCTTAGCCTAAAGGTTAGTGCATAAAGAGGTGAGCTTTGTAAATGATATCTCTGCTTTTTTTTTTTTTTTTTTTTTTTTAAAGAAGGGGCACCTCCATAACAATGAATTCAGATGGGCAGTATGGGAGAAAAAAAAATTCAGTGTTGACATTTATATTATAATTTATCAATGGCCCTAAAAGAAACTCTCATCATTTAGCTGAGCATGAAATGGCAATAACTGGTCAAACATGCCAACATTTGTAAAAAAAAAAAAATAAATAAATAAAAAATTAATAATAATTATTATATTTTTCATTCTATATTGTAAAAATTGATGACCACACATAATGTATGTCTGGAATAATGAATGTGAGATTCATTCGTAACATTGGACATTAAGTGAAAAGCTTATTTTGGTGTGATCCTCTCACACCTATTGTTTGTTAAAAAACATCCTCTTTGGGCTCATTTCACTCTGGGCCTGCTCATCTGGTTAATCTCACTGTGACGGCAGACGACACTTGTACTCCCACATCCTCCATTGTGTGCTGTTTATTTCTAAATACAACACTGAATTCTAACTATGGTGTTTTCTGTTCTGTGCAGGAGAGCAACAGCAGCGAATCTCAAGACGAAAAAGAGCAGGCCACCGTCATAGCGCCGACTGAGCTCGACACAGAGTCCATCACAAACACTGTCACCAGCAGCCTCACCATGCAGGAGTACTTTGCCCAGAGAATGGCCCGTTTGAAAAAGGTGCAAGCCCTCAGCTCAGACGTAAATGAGAGTTCTGGTGAAAACAGTCCTACGCATGACACCAACAACTGCAGCGCGGAGCAGCCGAAGAAGAAGAAAAAGAAGAAGGATAAAAAAGCAGCAGATGAAGCTGAAGTGTCTGAGGAGAAGTGTGATGCTCCAGTATCGGAGGAACATAAAGAACCAGAGCAGAGAAATCCTGAGAAGAAAAAGAACAAAAAAAGAAAAATGCATGAAAATGAGCGACCTCTGACCTTGGAAGAAGAGATGCCTTCATCCAAAGAGAAAAAAAAAAAGAAACATAAAGATGAGACAGAAGAAATAAATGGACATTTATTGGCTGAAGATGACAATTTGCAGTCTGAGGTTAATAAGGTACAGAATCATGACCAAGTGGAAAGTGTTTTCGCAAAGAAAAAATCCAAGAAGGACAAGAAAAGTAAAAGAAGAAAACAATCTGACACAATGGAATAAACAGTAATATAAACTTTTATTTCAACTCAACACTTTTAGCATGCAGGAAAGATTGTTTTCCTAAAAATGAATTTGAAAATATTACCAATATTACAAAATGGTGCCATAGTCAAAGACGAAATGAAATTATACCTTATAAATACGTTTGATTAATTTGTGTAACATGTCACTTGACAACTTTGTATTCATGTAGTTACATCATTCATATTTTGAATGGAGGAATAAACTGAATGATGCAATATCATCGACATCGCCCACTCACACTCAAGATTAAATAAACCAAAAATGGCCTTGATACATTTTATTTATTTTTTTTCATTTAATGGGTCACATGAATAAATGCTTCAGCATTTATGCCAATATACAATAGCATACATTACAAAATACTGTTTGATTTGAACTCTAAAAGTCGTAGGTGGTATGACTCAAAAGAGGAAACAGACTGTCTGGTATTACACACTACTAGTTAAGACGTGCATATATTTCTTTTAAGAATGAAGTACTTTTTGTATATATATATATATATATACATATGTTTTTTATTGGTACATATGAGTGCATACATTATATTCAAAACCAATCAACACAACCTCACACATAGTGACAATAGCTCGCCCACACAAAGTTGGGAGTTTCAGTGTCCTGCCTTTGCAGACTTTCACTGGGCATGCAGCGATGAGGCAGTGTCCAAACAGTTACGGGAAGTGCAGCCCTATAGATCACTAGAGTGCCTGGACCATGCACAATCTGTGGCTTCAGGTGCAGTATCCTGTTCCTGTGCAGGCCAGGTCTCATATCTGGACTTTACTCCTTGGTTTTATGTTTATAATAAATCTTGTTGAGTGTAACATATTTGTTACAAGCTGCAAGAAGCTCTGATACATGTATTCAATGTCGACTACTTAAGTTTGAGCCTAAAGTTTGACATGACCTATCAGTATTTATGTGAGTGGGGGGGCTTTGTTATGGGGTCGTGGTTGCTGTCAACAGGAACTCCTGGACTTGCTGTGTACACCCTTGAGCTAGTGAAGGAAACTGATTTGTGTAGTGGCTTTATCTCTGCTGTCACCCACACATGTGCTCACAAGTTCCACACACTGAGCGGCCTGAGCAGTTAGTATAGACAAACATAATAAACGATAGTACATTAATTCATCATTTAGTGTCTTATTCTATGTGGAAATATGAAAATGTCACTTCAGGTTTTGTTTGGACGTTACGTTAAAGAAATCTACACCAGAACAGGTTGGATAGGTATTTTCCTAAGAAGGCAATTTCCCCAAGACAAACCTAAGTTGCGAAACGTTTGTGTCACTGGGTTAAAATTAGACAGGACAGGAGTACAATTCTCCGTAGAAAACCTTTATAAACTGTTCCTCAGGATGAGCAAGTTTTGGGCGGGTTTGTTGTTCTACAGGTTAAAGTTGTGAGCAGTGTTGAAATCTGTCTCTCTCTTCACGGGGCTCTATTTGCATCAAGGAGGAGCGAGCGTCCTGCGGGGTTTCTCTTGGAACCTGCTCCTCAAATATAAAGCTCCCCCTCACAGAGCAAACACTGAATCAGAGCAGACGAGCGGCGCTACATCAGCACATGCCTGTTTCTAAGTGGGCCACTTGAACACTACATTCACTGGCCCGGCTTTCCGCGTGGGTTACTTTCACAAAGAGTTATACCAAGAATACTTCCACTTAGTGCCGCGCGTAAAGTTTGGGGCAGAGTGCGCGCAGATGGCTGCTCTCATCAGCGCGTACTCGTCGTGGCCGGAGTCCTTCGAGTGTCCTTCGGCAGATGGAGACGGGTCCGAGGGACACGGGCCTCACAGGAGCGCAGTGGACAAGGCTCCGGAGCCACGGATTCGACGACCCATGAATGCGTTCATGGTCTGGGCCAAAGACGAGCGCAAACGACTGGCCGTACAGAATCCGGATTTGCACAACGCCGAACTTAGCAAAATGCTAGGTAAGAAAACAGTATTATTATACAAAAGTATTTCTAGGCTATTAATGACGAATTATAATAAATTATAGTTAATTAGTACTACAATTAACAGTCTCTTGTTACCTTTGTACATTAAAATAAGCTTTATCCAAGACCATACATTTAATTTGAAAATGCTTGATGTAGGGTCTTAGAAGTGACCCAAATATTTAAAAGTACAGTTCAAGTTTCACAGCTGAGTGAGAATTAAGTGGAGAAAAGGCAAAGTTTCTAAAGAAGAGACGCCAACATTTTATCAAATGACCTATTTACACTAGTATTTTCTTTATTCAAAAATGCTTTGGAACCATATTTTTTCTTCTAACAATTAGGAAAACCTTTGGTGTAGGTCTAAACCAACTGCCCTCATTGTCAATAAAAATGCAGTGTTAATAGTTTTAATTAATTATTTTGTTTAAAAGTATGAAAAAAGTTATTGTTGTTATGTTAATACATCATTTTTTTTTTTTTTTTTTTTTTTCAGCAGTTTTAAAACATATGTAAAACATGGTCACCGGCTTGTCACTTTTTCTGACCCATAATTTGACAATGAATGAAATGTTACAGAAATATATTTTGTGTTAAAATCTGTTTTTCCCCCAAATGCAGGCAAGTCATGGAAGGCCCTGACTCCCCCTCAGAAGAGGCCCTATGTGGAGGAAGCTGAGCGGCTCCGTGTGCAGCACATGCAGGACTATCCCAACTACAAGTACCGTCCACGCAGAAAGAAACAGCTCAAGCGCATCTGCAAGCGAGTTGAGCCCGGATTCCTGCTGAGTAGCCTGGCTCCAGAGCAGAGCTCTCTGGTGGAGCAGCGAGTGCTGTGCCACCCTCTGGACAAGGAGGACGGGGGCTTCTCTGGACCAAGCTCAGTTCTTCCCGGGGTCCGGACATTCAGAGATCCAGCCACTTCTACCAGTACCAGCGGCACCAACAGTGGCTTTGACACTTATCCCTATGGCCTGCCCACTCCCCCGGAGATGTCCCCATTAGACGCAATGGACCATGAGCATGTACCCTCAGCTTACTACTCTTCAACTAGCTCCTGCTCCTCTTCCTCAGCCTCGTGTCCAGAGGAGCACCAGAATCACATGGGCAGCCCACCCCCGTACCACACTGACTACTCTCAGTCTCAGGTACACTGCGGCCACATTCCTCACATGTCCCAAACTAACACTGGACTCATGAGTGCCCCTCCACTTTCCTACTTCAGCGCTTCTTCTTTCCCTCAGGTCCACCACAGTGTCCACCAAGGACACCTGGGCCAGCTGTCCCCCCCACCAGAGACACAGGGACACCTGGAGACTCTGGACCAGTTGAGCCAAGCAGAGCTTCTGAGTGAGGTGGACCGAAATGAGTTTGACCAGTATCTGAACTCCACAGGGACAGGCTTCCACCCGGAGCAGGGCAGCACCATGACAGTGACGGGACATATTCAGGTGGCATCAGCTGCCACCACTGGCCCTAGCAGCTCCTCAGAAACCAGTCTGATCTCTGTGTTAGCGGACGCCACAGCAGCATACTACAACAACTATGGCATCTCATAAACTCCACTGGTCTGTCAAAGACACATGGTTCAAGAATAAAGATGCTGGGTTGATCTTGCAGCATAAGACAATGTACTGAGCATGAATGATTGTGTAGAAACACTGGAGGACCCGGCTGCCTCAGGGATGCAAACACTTGTGTGTCACCTCCAGCTGTCCGAGGAACTATCTAAAGACTTGTGCCCCTGTAAATGTCACACTTACTGTTGCCTCCATGGCGTGTACATAGAAATGCTCTTCCAAAAGCTAATTTAAGTGCTTAGATGTTTTTGATGCTAACTGTAATACTGACTGAAGAATATGGTTAATGGCGTTTGCGCCCTGCCTCTTGGGTTTAGAAGAGTCCAGTTACCTCAGTTGCTGTAAAATGGATGAGGTCTTGTTTGGATATTTTATATGCAATCTGTAAGTGTGTGTATACTGAGAAAAAGACACGGAGTTTAAACTACTTCTCAAGTACCTAATATTTAATCATAGCCTCTAAAATGGAAAATAATAATGGCAAATATAGAGTATGCTGATTTAGGTTTGTGAAAGACACTAATTTAAAATAAAGTTCATTTTTACATAAAACAGTTGTTACTTGACCAATACAGGTATAAATGTGTGATTTTCTGTTGTCATTTTCCAATCTCAAATTTCCCAAAGATACATCAACACTTTAATTTAATCCAAATTAAGGGTTAGAGAAAAAATCTCTCACTTTCACCCAATTTATTCCCGACTTACTCCTGGTAAAGACAAAGTTATGGTGCTTTCTCTGCCTTTCTCCTTTCTCATTTAACTCTGATATAACACCTCACCCCTCTACATTTTTTCTGTTTAAAGTCTGAGCTTTTGACAAATCCAGGAGTCGGGTTGATCTTCCTGCATTTTTCGGGAATGGTTGAGTCGTGCTTCTTGTAAAGAGGATGCAGCGGAGGAGCGGTGTTTCCTGCCTGATAAGCAGCCGCAGCTCTCCGTCAGGATGTTTGGGCCTGGCTGGGCTCTGCTTTAAAGAGCTGCACTGAGGGAAGGGAACCGGCCGCTCAGCTCACAGCAGGAAGCTCTGCACTCCTGATTAACATCTGACTTAACCGGCATTTTTTAAAAGGGGCTTCATCAACCTGTCCAGCCGTACATGTTATTCCACATTATAGGTCAAAACATATAACATCCATTTGGTTCTAGAGCTAGACAGTAGAATGAGCATTCATCATGTGGTCAGGAAATGCTGTGCTCATTTTGTCAGGGTTACCCCATTACCCTCTATGTCTGTGGGGGTTCAAAACTCAATGGAGGGTCCATTTTAAGGGCAGCCATATTTTGGATGTCAGGACTGGACGGGCGCGGCCTCAGGCATTTAGCATTGAAAGAGTCGCTGTCGTGGCGCTCGAGTTGTTGAGGTCGTTTTACTGCAGACTCCAGAGATAAAGACTTGATACAATGTCTCAACAACCACCTCAGGGAAGGACATTACAACATATAGGTAAGGACAATCATCAACAATGTGTGATCGAATCAGCTGATGGTATGACTGACATGGTTATGCTCTGGACTACCAAATAAAATGAAAATACATATTATCTTTACAATGATATCAATTCCTTTTATAATCATTAGGATTTAAAATCTGGTACAACTTAAATACATTCACAGGGTCTAAGATATCTGACATGTTACTACAGCGTATTTGGGAAGTGAGGGCAAAACACTCAACTTATCAGAGAATTCTTTCCTTTCCGTCACAGCTGACACATCTATATCACCCGGTTATAGACAGTTTATTTTGCACAACATGACGGCCATGACTTATGCCATGTTTCACCTGAACAAATCCATGTCCATGCAAGGTTTTTCCTAAACGTTATTAGGTGGAAGTCTTTCATTTTCATAAACACTCCCAAATGCCAGATCACAAGATTTACTTTATTTGTTAATTAAGGATATAGGCTGAACAAACAAATGCCGCGTGTCTTTCTGATTGCTGGTTGGCTGTGTTCCAGTCTCAGGTCAGGCTCGTGGAATGAGTCTGTCAGGTAGTCTGTTATGTTTCCTATTTCCTCCACTGCAGTCATGTCACTTCCCTCTGCAAACAAACAACTGGGCCCATCCAACTCAACACTCACTGTCAAGGTAACAGTGTAAAGCTTCATGCGTGATTGAGCCCACTCCCACACAGCTGCATAAAGCATTATCTATGAGGGAGAGACAAGGGGTATGAGCAGGCTGACTGTCTGGTTAGTCCACTGCCCATTGTGTACTTAACAAGTCCACATCCAGCTACCTATGGTGATGGTGACACTGTTGCCATGACGTTCTTTGAGTTGTAGCTATAGGTCAAAAGGAAGTGGCTGATATTTACTACGTGACTAAAAAGTCCCAGAGAAAAGAATGCCCTTTAAGGCTGAGCATTTCTTGCTGCTGGAAAAGTTGACATGTGTTGATTTTTATCTTCACGTTATGCAAATTTGTCAAAATTATCTTAAATCTGAAACCAAAGGAATGGACATGGTCAGGATAAACGGGATGAATTAACAGTAAATGACAAATAATCCATTCTGATAAGACTATTGGGCCTAAATACTTATTTGGCTATTGAAAAAAATTAAATTGGGTTTTATTGCAACAAACATATATATACGGCAACACATGTATTGTACATTTTTGCTTGGAGTGTTTAGCAGCAGCATAATAACCTGTTTACAATTTGTACTTGGCCTCAAATCTGGCCAAAGGAGGAAAACACACACAAGCATCTCACAGCAAGGGATTATGGGTGCAGTTATTCTTCATCTCATTGTGGCTCAACAACAGGCAGCGCGCGGGGTGGCAGCAGGCGTGTACGGGCCGTACAAAGAATGGACCAGACTCGCCGAGGGACAGGTGCCATGTGGCAGAGGATGCGCGCGGACGCAGATGGGGACCCCTGGAAAACTTACGGGACCGTCGCAGCGGCCAAGGGCGTCCCAGCCGTACCTGCGCTGTGAATGCTGCAGCTAACCACCAGCGCCACCTGTTCTGTGCAGATACAGGAAGAGGCAAGAGCACAAGGCCAGAGCGGGACTGCCAGACTGCACAAGGAGAAGGCTAGATTTCCACGCGCTCATAACATAAGCACGGCCAGGTTTCCAAATCGGCTCCGGCACCGCAGAATGTTGGAAATGGTGCACCCTTAGAATTATGGGCTCTCAGATTATCCCATCTAGGAAAAGCAATACATATTAAGTAGTTAACATGTAATAGGCCTAATGTGTTTCCTGTGTAGTTAATGATAGTTGTTTGATGAATTTATATATTTTGAGTAGACATGCTCTTTACTAAGGACAAAAATCTGCAATTGGAGATAAATACTTAAGAATAAATCAGATAAGTGTGTCATCGGAGGCAGATAGTTTACTCTTAGTATAGTAATATTTTCAAAAATCAAATGTATTTTACTGCTATCAAAATATTATTCCACCTTTTGTTGATAAAATCCACTATATATTATTGCGACTGATAATATCTCTAGAAGATGATAAAAAAAAAAATAAAAAAAAAAGGAAAGGCAATTTTTCAAAATGGAGATGTCTGTTTTTGCCATTGGACTTTTCAAACACTGAGTTGTGTAAATAAAGTGCAGAAAATGAAAAATAAATGTGGAAATAAATAAATGTAAAAATGAAATGAATGAAGTAGTAGAAATGCTTTTTCTAAGTGTAGCCTTGAATGTGTGCTTGGCTAATGTAGTAGTAATGTAGGCTAATGTATACTGTATAAATACATTTATTATTTACTCATTGATAGTTTTAGTCACCATTTCTTTAATACATGCCAAAATGTATTCTTGTATTTCTTTCCAATTATGTCATTTTTGCTCTTCCATACCAGCCCAGTGTCTCTGGCCCGGTGGTGTCTGCATGCCGTGGTGTTATCTGCCTTGTTTTTGACTGCAGCATTGTCCCCAGGGTGATGTAACTCTTCACCTCAATGTGGAGGTGGATGTTCCATTGTGCTTCCTAATTGCAATGAGGTTGTTCCATTTAGGAGACAGCACATCCGTATCTGCTACTCCGTTCAAGTGAATCCTCCAAATATCAAAACATGAAGTTTAAAAATGACAGGGGCAAACTGAAACTGTCCACCAACAATGTGAGCAAACATACAAAAAAATCTTACGAAAGAAAACAAACATCTACACATATAACAATAAATAAAAATTTGATTCTTAATTCAAATTAAGGCCGCATCTTGCAATAATATATTTATTTACAAGGGTGGACTAGTCAGCAAGTATAGGCTATTTTTTGAAGAACCAACTAGAAAGACTCTCAGGTTCTATTGTGTCGTCAAGATTTATTTTAAGCCTTTTTAACCAGATTGTAGAAAGATGCACTAAACACATTTCTTCAGAACACAGGTGCTTTACAGTCCAGATAATGATCAACTAATATTAAATTTGTCAAAAATATTTCTTATTCTTTAACTAATCCCTATTAATCTGATTATTATAATATTATAGAGGGCTGTAATCACTAGAGTAAAATGTGCAGTTTGTGTCCAGAGGCTGTCTCTGATCAGGACCTCTTTAGTGCCTCTGCTTCGGCCTGCAGGCACAGTTTACTCACAGCACATCCTGAGCAGCAGACGCTCTAATGATTCAGATGAGTGATGTTATAAGTTTAGTGGTGTGAGAGAGCCCCTTTTAACAGCTACTGGAGAAGAGAGACAAAGCAAAACTCCCGTCAGATGACAGCTTCACAGACTTTCTACTACTCATTTAGTTTATCAAATAATGATCATCATTCAAAAATGTTATTCTAATTTTGTGCTTAGTTTTACTGTGAACAGCAGGAGTACGTATACTTCTAGTTCAATTATTTTATTTTATATCTATCCTTATATTTAAATAATATATCTGTCTTTATATTTAAATAATGTTGTTTTGATCATTATTATCAATAATGCATAAAAAGAAATATCCGAGTCAAAACAGTTTTGCACAAGTCTAATGACGTTAACAAAGCCAGTGCTTGTAAAGGATCTGATCACGTCAGTAGTGACACACTGTATTTCCGCTGCCTTGATGTGCTGTTTACTCGCAGAGCTGTGGTAAAAATGCCAGTGTCCTTGGCAGCGCATC